AAACTGTAAATCAATCTCGTTCCCAGCCTATCTCTTCTCCCCGTCGCCTTTCGTTCCAGGTGACCGGTATTTTCGACTCTGAGGTCTCCGGTGAATTTTAGCCCGCCGGGGTCAAAACCACGTGGGGTACGTTTCTCGATCGTCCCGGTACCTTTTCTAGCCCAAAGCAGACAACCTAACGTGACACATAACTACTAACGTATGGCGTTAAAATTACAGAGATTGACCCTGAATGAACGTCAGTTGCTCGAGATTAATACGCCTGACATTAGGGAGGCGACGGTAGCGGAACGTCATTTATAAAGCTATTTGGCATACTTTTAAAATTCGTGGAGGCTATCTTAATTGACTAAGTTGGTCAAATGTAGCTAATTTTTCCGTGGAAATAAAGTTTTAGAGAGCACTGACATCAAAGTGTAAATAGAGAAAAAGAAACTTGTCTTTGGGTGCTTATGTCCTCCATATAACGTAGTGATGGCGAATAAAAATTTACAAACACGTGCCATGCACGTGCAGAGTTATTGTTTTGTTTATTGAACCTATATCAAGGGTCACCCTCCCAGTCCGAAAAATGCAGCAGTTCAGAATAGACTGGGGCCACGGGACCTAATTGGCTATTTACGCGATGGCTTGTTTTTGCTACTAAAGGAATTCTTTCATATTTAAATTTGGTAATCCCACTGAGGTTTAAAAAACAAAAGCCCTAATTTGCACAAGAAAGCAAAACCCTGAAGGAATCTGGCACAGGTAGTAAAATGACGCCATCGTGCAGATGGCCCTTTTTAGAATCCTTCAGAATTTGGCCTTCTCATACAAATTAAGACTTCTGGATTTAACGAATTAAATATGAGAAAATAATAAAAAAAAAAAAACGAAATGATTCTGGTCATATTTGTAGTGACACTATCGTGAAAAGCCCTGTCCACACAAATCCGGATATTTTTAACAGCGCATTTATATATTTTTTTCACATGAATCGGCCCTCCGTCTCCCGTCCATACATGAAACCAATGAATCCTCTCACCGAAACATTAGGCTGATTTAGCAACAGAACGGGAGTGTCAGTTGACCAAAACATGGTTAGGAACTGTGTAGCGCTGATAAGTTGATCACAATTAAAATTTGTCTTGTGTTCTTAGCGCTAAATGTTTGAAAATCCAGACGTTTCGGGACTACTGTCTCTTCATGAGTTGACGACGGGAAAGCACGCGGAAAGGACTGAACGCGACTTCAATTTGCTGCTCTGCCATTGGTCAAGGGTGTCTGTAAAACGCGGACCGGATACCTGCGGATGGCGGATGCGGATGGGAAAATGCGGATAGAAAAATGCGGATGGAAAAAAAAAACGCAGAGAGCAAAAAAAGTAAGAAGAAGAAAAAAAAAACGAGAAATGCGGATAACAAAAAAAAATAATAATTAAACAAACAAACAATTACGGAAAGAAATGTTTCTTTCAAGTCGCTGTCACATGGTTGGACCCTTCACTGCACTTGCATCCAGAACGTGATGCCAATAGTTGGCACAGTTTTGTACTCAGTAATTACTTTCATTAATGTCACAGAAATAAGAACGCTCCGTTCCTCCTCCTTAAATGCACACATACTTGGTGCACGTCTCCTGCGAGTGTCTAGCCTAAGGCTTGCAGGCAAGGAAAACAGCTCAAAAAATCGGCTAGCAAAGGAGGTGTCTGCAAAACGAGGACTGGATACCTGAGGATGGCGGAAGCGGATGGGAAAATGAGGATAGAAAAAATTGTGAACAATATCAAAAACCAAAAAAAACACAAATTTGGATATATAAATTGTGTCACGAGAACATTTCATAACAAAACACGAGTATAACGTTGTTCGGACAATAACAACAAAAAAGGACTAAATTTCCTCAAATTAAAAGAAAATTAGAGAAAACAAACTGAACCTAAAAATAGGGTGAACTACGCCAAAAAATCGGCGTGTTTTGCTTCGCCTATTTCACGCTCGCCTCCGCTAAATCGCCATGTTTTCTCACAAAGGAGCCTGATCTTCAAAAGGGCTCATGATACAAATCAATTTTCGCTCTGCCTTGACTATGGTCGACTCTGCCATAGCAGACCAGTTCAGAGAGTGACTGTGAACTGCAGACACCCGCAGAAGCCCGTTTTTGAGATCAAAAGCTAAGCTACTGTTACACTAGTGGTCTTCTGTTACACATCTTGATTTCCTCTCGGTTTTGTGTGAATCGGTCTTGTTTAATGAGGGTTTTTCTACAGAAATACATTTTCAAGCAACATGCCGCACCCTCAACAGAGTCATTTTTCTGGCCTTTGTTCCATTTTGAATTCACAGTTTTACGAAAAGCTTCCATCAACATATAAAAAATGCTGATCTGGTGTAGACATAGCCAAAACAAAATATAAAGTCTTCTTGAGAAGCAGCTTGGTTTTTTTTTCTCATTTGCAATAATTAAACATCTTTCCAGGTAGAAACGCACGGGAGCGGGCGAAATAATTCGAATATTATATAAATTATTTTCGATTCCGAATTCTGCCCTTCACGCTTTTAAAAACGAGTTTTAAGTTGCTCGATACAGACGTTCTAAAAACTCACTGAGGATATGTTTTGGAAACTATTTTGCTAGGAGAAAAATTAGAAACAAAAACAAATCAAACTGAAAGTAGCCTTCATTAATGTGTTTCCAAGTGACACTTTTTTTTGCGGGAGTTTAGTTTTGCAGATTAGGTGAATTTTTTCAGCACCATTTCGGGAAATAACTTTTTGCGATTGATCAAGAAGTCTGTTTTTTCTTTTCAATGTGCAGTATATTTTGCAATTTTAAAAATTCGAACTCATTATTCATGCACTTATAAATTCCCAAAGGGTAGAGCTTGTAAAAAATAAATCCACATGATAGGCGGAGTTGATTGGCATCTGCCAAATCGGAAAGTTACGTTTTTACGTTCGGCCTTTTTTTCTGGTTGATCTGCAGTTTTTTCTGTCTTGAGCCGCTCAAACAAGTAAGTCTTGATTTGATTGCCTTGAGAATATTCTTTCTGTAAGTTGAGTACACTATATCCAGTAGGAGGAAAGAAATCAGAACTCCAGGTCAGAATGATTTTATATTAAAAATTGCATTTGTCGTTTGTTTTGCAAGTACTAACACCCATGCCTCCCCCTCGTAGCTTGGTAACCGTGAAATTCCGAATAAAGTAATGTTTAAAAAAAAATAGCGATCACTCCCGAAAGTAGAGACTGACTGTTCGTGAATTACACCGCTTTAGGATGCTGGTCTGGTAATATTCTGCATAGCCTGCGAGCAAGCTCTCCTATTTAGGCGAGCGAAGCTAGCCTCGCGAGAACGCGCGAGACTCGCTTTGCTCGTCCAAAGAGGAGAGCTTACTCGCAGGCTGTATTCTGCATTCTGACCCGTGATTGCAGGGACTACTGGCTCCTTATTGGGTAAAGAAAAGAATATTAAACAGGGCCAGTGCTAGCCGATTTTTTGAGCTGTTTTCCTTGCCTGCAAGCCTTAGGCTAAACACTCACAGGAGAAGTGCATCAAGTATGTGTGCATTTGCCTGCGTGCAGACGTCTCCTATTTCCTTTGTTGCACGCGGAAAAGGGACGTCTGCGTAACGCCGTCGCTAATCGTGTTCCAGCGTCCTGCTGGGTTCCCAAGATCTTGGGAACACGCTGTGATAGGCTGACACACAGTGCGCATTGTTTGACTTAACGCTGATTGGTTGTTATCGAATGTGGTCTGATAATGTATGCGGTGATTCAAATGATTTATGTAAGCGGGGTTTTCTAACCAAAACAAATCAAAACATGTGCGATTATGTGCTGTGTTTTTCGTCGATCGAAAAGCAGAGCGATCGAAATCTTGTGCGGGGACGCGGAAAATTTAACGTGTACGAGGAAATTATTTCTTTACAATTTACTGTGCATGACACATCACATCATATTTGTAAACAGTGTCTGAGAAAACTACAAAAGCGGCGTGGACTTCGCACCAGGCAGGCATTTCGGAGAAAGCCAGCCAAAGAAGCTAAAATCTTTACTTAGCCGTAACAAACAGAGGTCAAGAAAATTTAAACACGTTACAACTGCATCTGAAATCAAATCCTATCGGGAACACCCACAGAAGCATAAACCACAGGAAATGATTACTCAGTATGCATGTAACAAACCTGCTTCATGACCTCTAAATGGAAGACTTAGCGCGGCAAAAATGAGATTTACTCAGTCGGTTGGAATGCTACATGCACTGTGTAGTGCTAGTAATCTTCGCGCGAGAAAGAAAAGAAGAAAAACCTCTGTTCAAGCAGACTCTCAAGGTCACGTTTCGCCCGTCTCACGAGCTTATGATGTTTTGTTTGGCCTGTCAACTCTTATTTCTAACCGGATATTATTTCACAATTTATGCGAAATAGAATACCCTGCCAGCGGGACGCTGGAACACGATTAGCGACGGCGTTACGCAGACGTCCCTTTTCCGCGTGCAACAAAGGAAATAGGAGACGTCTGCACGCAGGCAAGTGTGCATTTAAGGAGGAGGAACGGAGCATTCTTATTTCTGTGACATTAATGAAAGGAATTACAGGGTACAAAACTGTGCCAACTATTGGCATCACGTTCTGGATGTAAGTGCAGTGAAGGGTCCAACCATGTGACGGCGACTTGAAAGAAAGATTTCTTTCCTTAATTGTTTTTTGTTTGTTTATTTATTCTTTTTTTTTTTTGTTATCCGCATTTCTCGTTTTTTTTCTTCTTAATTTTTTTGTTATTCGCGTTTTTTTTTTCCATCCGCATCCGCCATCCGCAGGTATCCGGTCCGCGTTTTACAGACACCCATTGGTCAAGCCAGTTGTTTGATTTGCGCGCGTGGTCGTCAACTGACGTTCCTGTTCTATTGCTAAGTCAGCCTAATGTGTGGTTTAAGGCCTCGTCTACACGAATCCGGGTAAAGAGTTACGCAGTTTCAAAAATTAGTCTGGATTCGCGTGCACGTGGCCCTAAAACAGTTCAAGGTAACTTTTGCTGAATCCAGTCGAGAATGTCCTTGTAAACTACGCTCGCAGTTTCTTCCACCTCATTCAACAGTTCATGGCGTCCATTTTTGTACACCTGCAAAGCAAGTTTTACAAGCAGTTGAGTTAATATAAAATAATAATTGGTAGATTTAAAAATGACAACGGGACAGAAAATTGGCCGAAGAGGGAAAACTCTATATTATTCTTTAGGCACCCGTTTGGAGACGAGAATTTCCTCTTTGGTGATTATTTTATAAATTCTCATAGCCTTTTCCCTTGAAATGTGATGACATTGTTAGGAGAAAATAGATATTGGTTATTCTTGGGGTTAAAAGGGTTTAGACAAATCACGACGGTTGTTGGGATAAGTTCACAATAATTACGCTTGGAACAAAGAAGCCGAAACTCCTACCCCGGGCAGGAACAAACGCCGATTTAAGACCGCTTCTTCCTGCTCTTATGATATACCGTCAAGCGCCCTAACTATTCGTCGGAAATACCCATAGAGAGGCTATTAGTTCGCTCAGTGCTGTCAGTAAAGCAGCTCATTCGTGTACCTTAAATGTCTTGTCGTTACCTGGGGAATTCTCATGTAAGTAATGTGAACCGTCAATCTTCACTAATTGATCTCCATTACCATGGACAAGTAGATAAGGTGTTGCGAGCTTTGACAAGTTCCTCTGAATTTCGTTCATTGCGTCTAATATAGCTCCGACCCATCTCACTTTCAGTCCCTCATGCCAGTTTAGGCTATCATTGGCATACTTTTCAACCTAAAACAATAGTAATAAACATGCAAGGTGCATTGTATTATTGAAGTCCTAGACTTGCCACAAGTCGACCGCGAAAGCAAGAAGGCACGAGGGACACCCGGTACTCAAGGAAATTCGACTTTCTGTAAGATTTATGGTTATCAAATGGATGGTGCAAAGAATTGAGTGACATTCAAATTTATACGGGGAGGCTCCAACCCTAAACAAACACGATGAGCTCCTTCAACGATAAATCTCTAAGGACTTAGGCCTAGGGGTGGAACCTCCCCGTATAAAACATTGTTGAGTAGCCACGCCCCCCCCTCCACTTCCACCGGGGGTATAATGTTAGGGCTAATTAATTAAACAGGACAGAATGACCCTCGACGAACCCGCTGGCCCCAAGCGTTACTAGTTCATTGCACAATCATGAAGGATGGAAAACATCAATTCCCGACTCACAATTCCGAAGGACTTGTCATGAACCATGAAACTGAAAAACTTTTATTCAACCTGTGCCCAAAATATTCCAGTCAGTGGTACGAAATGTCAAGTTTCGCGATCGGTTTGAGGGACTGGACACAGCCTCGATCGACAACCCCCAGAAATCAACAGAACATGTTGGGCATTGTCGTCGGAAATGCGGATAAAATGCACACGAAAGTCTTCCTCCTTTGACTCAGGAAAAGAAAGCAGTTTTCAGTTATTATTCGCCTTTTTAGAAACGAGAAAGGAATTTTTTCGGAGAAGAAATTTGACCCGCGATTGTTCTGGGATTGTTACTGGGCCAATCTTTTTCTCTGTCCTTAGGAACAATCCCAGAACTCTTTGCGAAAGTGAACTAGGCTGAGTTTCCCAGTAGTCTTGTATCACCTGTGTAGGATCCTGGCTTAAGAGTGATGGATTAATCGGTGGCCTGATCTGGTAGGAGCGCATTTTCCATGATACTATTCTTCCTACACAAACCTGTAAGACACATGCATTATATACGTTATTTGAGACCTTTAGTTTTTAAGACGAGGACGACTACGAGTACGAGATTTTCTTAATGCTAAGCAGTGCTCGCGCATGAACCAGCGTAATTTTGGTGAGAAAACGTGATAGCCGTCGTCATTCTACTACGAGTTTTGCCGAGAATGTCGTTTTGACGAAAACAAGTTATCAAATGTTAGAAACTAAGTTTTATTATTTTTGGTCGGGAGAGGGCTTAAACTCCTTCAATAAGTAACAGTGCTAACTTTTCTGGTGAATCAAAAGTACAATGGAGCTTTCCGGGTGTCTATTTTTCTTTTTGAGAAGAGCGAAAGTCGTACTCCTAGTAGTTCTCGTCCTCGAATCTAAAGGTCTCTTTTAACCAAGCGTGAGGTCCAGATAGCTGAATATTGGCCAAGTTCGTTTTGTTTTGTTTTTTTTTTTTTGCGTTTTTGTATATGAAAGAATCACTACTGTATTAATTTCGCCCCTCCCTCCCCCTCATCATATTCCCTTCCCTCCGTTTCGACTAGTAATTAATCAGATATTTATGTTTAAACAACATGTGAATTGACTATAAAAAATACTGCTGCCCCTGCAAATATTTCATATCTAAAAACTGTTTTATCTCACTCTGCATTAAAGCTATGGTAAAACGGACAACAAAAACTTGAAACCTGTTTTGCAAAATTGCTGGGAAACTAGTTGAAAAGTGATGTTGCGCATTTTACTATCCACGAATGAAGTCTCCCTTGCAGCAAATCAGGTTTAAACAAGTTGCGAAAAAGTTGTTGCAGAAACTAGAGAAAAGTTCTACTTTTTGCATCAAAATCTGTCGATGTTGCGCGTTTTAATTACCGACCCAAAGCAAACTTGCTTTGCAGCAAGTGATGTAACTCCTGTGTATGGCGTGACTCCCGCGTAATTTTATCCAATTAGCAGTCAGTATTTACGCAACTTGCAACACTGAATCTTATTTGCTACAAGACAGGTTTGATTTATGGACAATAAAACGTGCAGCATCGCTTTCGGACTCGTTCTGCAGCAATTTGTTGCCCGTTTTACTGTACCTTTAGCCTCGTTCTTAAAGCGAGAGTTTTTGGAACTCGGAAATGGGCTATTATAGCCTGTGATCATGCCCTCCCTATAAAAAAAAAACCCCGCCTGATACGCAGGTTAAGATAATTAAAAGACGATGAATCATAAGAAACTACTGTTTTACATTATTTCCTTGTTTCTGTTTTGGGGTTTTTGATCATGGTTTGTATTTTTAAATTCTCTTTCAGTTTTTGTGGTTCAGTTTCGTATTTTTTTTGTACGTGTTTCCGCTTTGGGATGTTTATTTCTGTTTTGGGATTTGTATTTCTGTTTTCTGGTAGTGTTTTTCTGTTTTGGGTTTGCTGTATCCTGTTTTTACATTGACGGCACCCTAAGAAAAGAGAAACAGTCTTTGCATTGTGTTTTCGTTTATTATTTGTAGCAAGTGGAGCAATAAATTACCGTGATCGGCTCCTGCACTCGCAAAGAAATAAGGTCTTTCCATAACACTGAGAACAGCTATTGTACCACCCTAAAAAGAACAATGCATAATATTAATAATATCATAACATGAAATTTTCAAGGCGCAGTCAAACCTCCCGTAGGCGACCACTGTAAAGGCTAACAGTTTGTGGTCACTTACAGAAGGTGGTCGCTTACGACACTTCCTTGGAGTAGATTTCAGGGCACATCTACTTTAAAGCAGATAATTTACTGCACTGATTTTTTTCCGAGTTACATGTTGTTACTTAAGTTCTTCGTGTACTCCTAGTAGCATACAGTGAACATAAGAGTTCAGACAAATCGTTAAGGGGTCGCTTTTTAGGAGGTTAAAAACAATGGGAAATCTCTCTAACGCGGTCGCTTAAGGATGGCGATCTTTTACGAGAGGTAGTTGTTTACGAGAGGTGGTCGCATATGGAGGTTCGACTGTATTTGTGTTTTTGTAATATGTGATTTAACTGCATTGAAGCCAGACTTGAAAAGAATTAAAAATAAGAAAACCTGAAATTCACAGGCTATCTATGTTATCAAAACAAACCGGCAAGAGCGCGACGTTACGAAACAAACGCAAAGTATGATGGGCTTGGGGTCTTTATCGTAATTGACATATACTTGTATTCCTGTGATCGACGCGGTTAGGGGACGGGAGAACCTATCATCTATACCTTAAAAAAATACAAAACAAAAAACAAACAAAGAAAACCAAACTGAAAAAGGGGAAGAGTTCCAATAACGTTTTTATAGCAGTACATACCACTGAGTGGCCAAACAAAAATATTGGTATGCCTGTGTTGTCTGCTGTGACTTGGTCAATGTGTTTAAAAACACCTCTGACGTAAAAGGAAAAATCTGATATGTGGGCTCTTTCTCCTTCACTCTGACCATGACCAACTAATAGAAAGATTTATTGTCAAAAATTAGCTCTTGAAGGGTTATATCACACTATTTCCTGTCTTTCTTTGTATTCGCCAGGTGCCCATAAAATCATAAATTGAATTCCAAAAATAATGGTCCAGTTTTCTACTCTATCTTTATCCCTCCCTCCCTCCCATCCCTAGCATTTTACAGCCACTCTGTAAGAAAGACTGCTTTCTTCTTCAGACTGAGCTTGTCAAAATTACAACTTCTTCACTGATTATGAAGTGTGATATAACTTTTCTTCTCGTTCACTCAGTGACAGGCTATCCATGCTTTGCCAGCAGCTATAGGTACCCTCAAAAGCATGGCAGGAAAAAAAAATTATGTCGCTCAGAAATTTTGTAACAATGACTGATCATTTCAATTTCATTCTGCTTCCCAACGTCATATTTTTTTCCTTTCTAGGTTTATCCAATCACAATGTTCCATGACCCGGATATTCATCGTGGTTCCCAGGCCCTCGTTGATGCTCATTCCCGTAACGGGCCTACCAAACGAATCCTTATGCAGGTAAGAAAACTGTCAGACAGGTCGCCACTTAAGATACGAGAAGAAAGCTGAGCCACGTTAATTTTCACAAAGCTTCTGAGACGGTAGTCTTTTGTCTCGTCACGCAACGCTCCCTTCTGGGACGATTATTGGGGACAAAGGAAAAATTCGCCATTAACTGACCCGGTGCTTCCCCAGAGACGATCTTAGACGTCTTTGTGAAAATTAACTCGGCGTAGTTTCTTCTCTTTTTTAAACTGGTGAATGTCTTTCCAGATTACACAGTGGAACTGCTATTTAACGGCTGCCCTTACTTGTTAGTTCTGTTCAAAAGCAATCCACTGCTTTTCTTACCAATAACTTCCTACTACTCTCACGTTTCAAAATGGCGCGTGACAGGGCGTGGTACCCAGGGGGTGAACAGAAAACCATTCTGTGCCTTTATCTAGGCACCATTACTCGGGCACCAAGTGTGACATTGTCATAGTGTGAGCTTATGCCTGTATGGATTAATGAAAATGAACTTTATTTGTTGATTTATTTCAGCGTCACACGTTACGAGCTGTGCCAGTATCTCAAGTGAAGTATCAGTGTAAAGAGAAAAACACTCGTTTCTGGGTGTACGGGTTGGATCACGGAGTGCACTCCCCAGACTAGCCCCAACAGTGCTGTTGTGGTTGCACTATAATCTAGAGTAGTCAAAGAATAATGTATAGCATCGGTCAGTTTTTATGTGCAATCCAGACTAATCGCTGGGCGTTCGCGTTTTGTGCTAGCCTGGGACCAGGTTTTTTGGTCGGGAAAAGGGGCAAAAAATCGACAAGAGAAGCGAGCAGACAGAGGGACCTCTCCTCTTCTTTCTCCCTCCCCCCCCCCACTGCCGTCTGCTCGCGATTTTAAATGAAGAGCCTGTGTATGGGATTGCTTTGTGAAAGGAGGGGATGGGGGAAAGGGAAGGAAAAAGGCAAATACCCCTAGGGTACGACATGTTATCGTTTATTTTAATCCTAATAGTAGCTAAAGAAAAAATAATTAATTAACCATCAATTCGCTCTTCTTCCTAAGAGATGAACATTCAGGCAAAAGTTCCGCCAAAGAGATATCATATATTTGAATGGCAACACCATGGGGTTTCGTCTAGCCTGCGTGGCAGACGTTAAAAGGGGAAGAGGTTATCTCTGCATACGGGGCTACCGTAAAATTCCGAAAATGAGCCCCTCCATGTATAAACCCCTTCAAATATAAGCCCCCCAAACTCGTAACGCAAAAAACCCACCGTTAAATCGCACCTCCAAATATAAGCCCGCCCGGAGGCTTGTACTTGGAAATTGCCCTCAGATACAAAGTAAAATAAAGCAAAAACGGTAAATTTCCTTCCAAATATAAGGCTAGCCCAATCGATTTTAAAACGCAAACTTCCCTCCGTAGATAATCCCCTCCAAATATAAGCCCCTCAAAAAGGGCCTTTGAAAAATATAAGCCCCGGGGCTTATTTTCGGAATTTTACGGTAACTAACAAAGTAACTAAAGAGCGATTAATTAGGGTAAAAAAATGTAAACTAAGCAGTTTTGTAATAGCTGTTTTAACATTAGGACGCGTGTCCGACCAGGTGACTCGGTACATGTAAGGGAATTGGGATTCCGGATTGCGAGAATTTTTGCTTGTGAAATCCGGAATCTTCGGCTTTGGAAAATCAGGAATACAGTTCAAGGAATCCGGAATCCCATTAACGATTGGAATCAAGAATCGAAATTCCACAGATAAAGTTGGGAATCCAGTACCTGGAATCAGGAATCGACAACGTGGAATCCGGAATCTAAGCCGGACTGTCTGGGACCCTTACATGGAGCGAGGTGACCATTTTAGTGTGACAAAGTAGAAACGTTGTCGAGCGTACATGACATTGATGTACAAAGGAACGTTAGGACAATTATGATTATTTCAATAATTTGTGAGACCGTGAGTTGTTGCAAAGTTGTCAGTCAGGGATTTTACAGAGAAATATAGAATTGTACTGTGTATTTTCCCTTACGAAGGGGCAAGTATATTTATTTATCGGATTTTAACGTACTTTCGTATATGACCATTGAATCAAGAGGCGTGTTTTCAGCTTGTTTCGTAAAAATAGAGACGAGAAAAGTGACTGAAAAAAGATGAAACTAATATGAACTTTCAGCAGAACTGCGCGTGAAGTTTGATTTTCTGGACATTGTAAGAAAACCAAGCACTGTAACTCCCTTAATTTCGAATGCATTATTTAGCAAGTTTTGTCCTCAGTTAGAACAAGACAAAGAAATTCGATGGAAAAGGTAGCCAGTCTCTCTCCGCCGCGCCCACTACATGGCGAAACGGGTTAGACTAGGTACTAGATGATCTTTAAGGCTCATGGATTTTTGTCTAAGCTATAATTCGAGGGCTTTTCGGTCTTGTTTCACCAGTATTTTGCTTGGCTTAAAAACAAAAACTGTGCGCAACAGTACAAACCCAAATTTGAATTCCGGTCTCAAATCCTCATCTTCTCCCCAGCCCCTCCCCTTGTCTATTTCACCTGGACCACGACGAGGCCGATGTTCGTTCATCCTTGCAGACCACGGTGTTTATTGCACGGAGTTTGTACAGGTATGTGATTGCAGACAGTGAGGTTTGATGTAGAGGATAGTCATTTCTGATGAGAAAAATAGATCACCTCTGACCTGTAGGCGTCGAATGCCCTCAGCAGACTTCCAAAGCGGTTCGAAGGTGAAATCGCGCCAACAACTTAATGCTCTGTGTACCAGCCGACGGAAGGTCTTAATTTATTTGAAGGCTTTTAACGTTTGCCTTTGTTGTTAAAGGAATGAATTCGATGTTTCTTATTGACAAAACAGTTTTCCTACCCTAGTAGCTTCAGGAAAATGCTGAGGGTATTGTAATATCAGAGTTTGAGATACAGATCGCATTATATATTGCAGCTTCATTTTACAAGTGGAAAACGAAACAGTATGGGTATTTATATGAATATTTATTGGTTTTTGGAGTCTCATCAATATGCTTGGAGAATCGCAGAATTCAATAACGTCAGCTGACAACCTCTCAGCTGAGAATTTTGAAAGGTAATCATTAATTTTCCGACATTCTATTTGCGTGCGCCCGCTTATTTCAAGTCAGATGAACCGTGGAAAATCAATGACATGATTATAATTCAAGTTGCCCCAGCTCGTAGATATGGTGGAGTTTTATTGACATACCTAAAAACGGAACTAATCTCGATTAAGTGGCTGAAATAAGGAATGAGAGAAAATATTTAATTCTGAGCATTCACCTACGAGAACACGTGTTGTAACCGGAAAAAGTTGTAGTAGCTCAATTGTTTTATGCACTCTATTTATTTAGCAGTTAATGAATGAGGCTGAGTAGGATATGAAGAATTATGCAGATCAAGGAGGGTGCTATCCACCAAGGCCGACAGCCAAGGTGGATAACACCCTCCACGATCTGCATAATATTCCTTGAGCCCGAATGGGCTCTGAGTCAATAGCCCATGAGGCCGAAGGCCGGATGGCATTGAATGGGCTCTTGACTCAGAGGCCATGAGGGTGAGCGGAATAATTGTTTTAGTAAAATCCAACTAGTTGGTCAAAAATATTGAGCATAAAAAAAATTTAGCTAGTTAAAACTAGACTTAAATCCTTTTTTGCCGCCAAAAAGCCTGCGCTTTTCGCTACTAGGGGCCTATAACACATATAGCCTAGTAGTAGCTCAACCAATCAGAACGCAGTATTGAGAATAGACCACTAGTTGGATTTTACTAATTTTCTTTATATCCTATGAAAGCCGAATTCATTAATTACTTTATTATTCATTCAAAATAATTGCTAGTTTGAAAACAAGCTAAAACACGCTTACCTTCGTCAATGTTAAGCTCACCTCGATAGTGCATGTTTAGAAGATAAAGGGCTGTTCAGGTCTCCAAATGGCAGATGTTGGCCGTCAAGTTGTCTTCTTGCTATGTTTCTAGACAACAGTTCATCGTGAAATGAGTAAAATGTTCCGCCAACTGTTCAGCCATTTTTTTTCACAGCCAAAACAACTCAACCTCGTCCCCAGGTCTTCTTGGTTAATGGTGCATTAACCTGCGACAGTGCTGCACTTCTGACATCATCGGTTGATTAATCGCAAAATTCTTCCAAATTTGGTCAACAGTAGCTGGTTATGGCGAATTATGCTTGTTCTTTTAGCCAATCAGAGATGGAGAAATATTTTGAATGAATAATAAATCTGTTTACTGATGACTGCCTATTCATTTCTGGAAATTGTGATCGATAACAAATTTTAGTTGGCAGACATCTGTTATGAAATCAAACTGTATTATCTCCATAGTGATTCAATTTTGCCCTGTTCCTAATGCAGATCATTCACAGCAAGAACCTGTCTAAAAACCATCTAGCACTATGAGTCAAGCCCCTTATCCACCTGGAGGATATGCCTATGGACCAGGACAAGGATATCAACAACCAGGTTATTACATGCCGTGCATGATGTCAGGAACGAAATTGAGGCATATATGAGCTTACTGGGACTGGCTTAGGCCTTGTTTATAGCACTATGCAAAATTTTGTTTCTTTTGCAAAAAAATCTGTCAACAGGAAGCCATGCTTTTCTTGTGTCAAGCGACTGTGCGCTAGCATGCGCTGTGGCCCTGGTAGCTAACTTTTGCAGCCGGTCAACTAGAAAATCTTTTCATAGAAATCGTCTGCTGAGCACCCTGAGAGCATTGGGCTCCCTACAATTTTTCTTAGAGCACAGCCATGAATTATTTTTATTCACCTATCAAAATTTTCTCAACTGTCACCAAACTTCAAAGATGCTGTCAAGAACATTTTGGAGGCAGCCGAAAAGCCTGCAATGTTTTGTCAGGCAACAAAATCCTGTGTTCCTTGGTCTTCCTTGACAGCTATCCTTCATTGAGGCATGTTATTTCGCGAACATGACCAATTAAAGTTCCTTTAATTGACATTTCTGGTTATATGGAAAAGTTTGCTTGTCTCAGATGTGAACAAGGTTGCAAAATAAAAGATTGGTGGTGAATAATTTCCAAATTTTTTCAAATGCTGAACTCCATTTTTAGTCAGAGTGTGAACAGGGCCCTATGTAAAAACTTGATCTGTGCTGCTTTTTTAATTTGTTGAATTACAAGTGGCTGGCTGTCTAGTCCCATAAATTATTGTTACATTGTAAATCTTTCCTTCCCCTTGAAGTCAGTTAATGTCTCCTTTTCCACAAATATTGGATTTATGCAGGGTCATTTCTTAATGCCATGCCTGCCTTACCTGACCATATGCATTTTGCTCATATTTTATCGTTAATTTCCAGGTCAGCCACAAGTTGGTTTTGCCCCTCAACAGGGTTATGGTCCTGCGCCCCCTCAGCAGCAAGGATATGGATCTTTTAATGTTGCTTTTGAGGGTAAGGACAAGGTTCAAGTGCTTTTTAACCATGCCTTAATGTTATGTCAGTGTCTCTGGCACAATTTGTAGGGTGTGACGGAAGTAGCTTCAAGCAAGTACAGATCCCAGGGTTGGGGCTATTTTGGTATAACAATGTTGGGGCGGTGCAAAACCTCTTTTTGTGGGTTGGGGATGGGGGCTGTTATCAGATGCTATATGTGGAAAATAACGTCCTCTGTTCTGTTCTGTTCTGTCCCCACCTGGCTGGAGGTGCGCCGGGCTGTTTTGAGGGAGTTCTTTTACTCTCAAAAAAGATTAGATTATTAGTTATTATTAGTTTTGTCCCTCTGCCTCATGATCCTTGTTTTTGTTGGGGCAGGGTAGGGGAGTCCCTGAAGCTTCCTTCCCCCCCCCCACCCCTCTCAGACCCACCACTGGTTAAAGCATCAGGGAGGCCATGGTAGCATACTGGTACCAATAGAGCAATGTATGTGTAACTTTTGTCATAATTATCAAAAACTGCAGGAAGAGTTGATCGGCCCACATACTCCGGATCAGATGTTCCAGCTCAGGACATGTTTGATAATCAGTTTGCCAAGGCTCCAGTTCCTTCTGCTCCACCTGCTGATATGTTTGCACAATACTCTGGTTATGAAAATACAAGGTTTGGTAAGTAACATTACATGTATTCAACCTATTATGTATATTTGTCGATCTATTTTTCAATGTTTTGTTATTATGCTGTTTAGTAACTACATTGTATTTATAGCTAGGAATGAAAGTAGTACTGGCATGTAATCCTTCGTTCACAAGCCAGATTGTTTTTTTTGTTTGTTTGTTTGTTTTTTATTATTATTTTCAGGCAGTTCATTTGTGCCACCTCCACCTCCTTATGTTCCTCCACCCTCCTCGGAGATGCCAGAGCAGCTCTTCCAACAGTGAGTTTGTTTTCTCAGAATACTGTGAACACCTGAATAAAGAGCCATTTACAACAAAGATCAGTAGACGTACAAGCAAACTGCAAACTTATTGCTGCACTTGCTTGCAATTTTGTTTTCTCATGCCTGATTAGTTTTTCTTTGCAACACAATAACATTTCAGAATATAAAAAATCATTTAAATAATAATATTAGTTTAAATTACTTTTCCTTTATTTGGTTTGCAAGTCACAGAATCATTTAGAAGATGCAGAGCCAGAGTAAAATAAAAATGTTCTAAATGCTTTAATTCTTCCAACTGGATCTTCAATTCTGCTGAACTTGTCACTCCACTCACAACTCTATCTGATTTTTCATTCTCACTAGCTCTGACTTCTTCATTAGCAACATATAGTTTTAAGGGATTCAATCAACTTAGAAATAAGTAGAACAAATAAATTGGCTGTTCCTTAATTAACAGGTCAACTGCTATAAGTGATGATCAGGCTCGTGATGCCATGCTTCAGTTTGTTAGTGAACATTGCTGTTATGGAAAGACCCCAGCTCAGGAAATGGTGATTAAGGACATAGTTCCTTCAAGTGCGTACCATGTAAGCTCAATGGAAAACAATAAAATAAATTAAGTACGTATTTATTTAATCCCATTCACAGTCGTTGAGGATGGAAAAGGTGGAACATAATTGAAAGCTATAGCCTTGTGAAGAACATATGACCCTTACTAATATACTTGCTTTATCTTCAACAATTAAATCACTAAGATTGGAGGTTGTACTTTTTTGTGAATGGTTATTGTATTTATTCTTGACCAGATTTTATGTTTTTAGTATTCTCTTGCAAGCTTCTGTGAGTCACGGAAAACTGAGTGGCAATATGAACCTTACAGAGGTAAGCGTCAAAAAGACTTTATTAATATCATAAATCTCCCCTTCTATTCCTTGTTGGCTACTAAAAAAAAGTTCTGGGCCAGCTCTGGAAGAAACATATTTTCAAAAATAACTGAAAATTTTGGAATGATGTTTTTGGGACTAAACTGGTTTTTCCACAAAGAGCATGTTTTCCTCTCATTGTTGCCTTTTTCAGCTCTGGTTGTAGGCTAATGGAATTCTTTGGAGGTGAACAATTTGACATTATTGAACAATCCTTGCTATTGTTATCCTTGTACCTTAGTTTAAAGTATAAGATTCAGAGCAAAATAAATGAGCACCTTTCTCAGGGAGGATGTTTATATCCACTGAGGCCAAATATATTTTTGTTGATAACCTGTTCACTTTTGGGTCTATGAGTGTTTTAGACACCATGTCATTGTTAGTTTTCAAGTACCATTTTGATTTACTTTCAGGACAACCTATTGACAGTCCAGTCAATGGCCCCGCCCCTCTCCCATGGAACATTCCAGCTCAACCACAACAGATGTTTTCTGATTTTCAAACCAAACTGGAGGTTCCTCACACTGCAAATATTAAGGTACTAATGTGTAATTCCTCTACAGACACTTTCAAATGCAAGCCCCCAAAAATAAACAATTCTGTTAATTTTCATTACATGTACCCCAAAATTGCACAAATAAAGTGTACTGCATTCAAGTTAACTATCTCAGATCTCAGTGGACAAGCCCACACATAGCTTTCATATGATAGAGCTTAGTCTTTAACGTACAATAACCTCAACACATCCAAGGTATCTATATTCTATCCATCACTTGGCACCTTACTTAAAGGTGAGAAGTAATTCACCCTTTAAAACCGTAAGATCAAAATTAAAATTCTCATTTGTTGCCCCTCTTCATTTCCTACAGAAGTAGTGGGGAGAAGTTGATAAAATATCAAGCAAATTCATCTCGTGTGATCATGTTTGTAGTTCTCATGACCACTCTGTTTCACAAAGCATTGATATTACAAGGGGAAATTTGATGCTGGGATTGCCATCACTATTAAGAGAGACCCTGGGTCAAGGTTTCTGTATCTAATCAACTGCATCAGGCAGCTGTGGTAAAGACAATTAATGCAAAGTCAAATGAGAATGAGAAAGCAAATTGAAAGGACTGAACATATTAGCTGCAGAACTTATTAATTTTGTTGCGGCATGATTCTACAGGTAGATGTATATCCAATACAGAGGCTTTTTAGTTACCAGTATTCCTCCAAGATGTCATTTTTCTGTTATCATAAATTAAATAAAATATTCAATTTTCAACCATGTCATGACTGTCTTGCCGTGGGCTACATACGATGTTACAAGTGCTGTGGCAGAGGAAGGGTGCGTACATTATATAACCGATTATGGTCTAAAAAAAGCTTGTATGAAACTGGCTGTATCTTTGTCATGTAATAGTTCGCATAGGGTTACTGTGATAAAGTTTATTATTTTATTTGTTTCTCTTTGTCTTAAACTGCAATCCATCTCCATCGACAGCAAAAGTTTACTTGGTGCTCTTTTTGTCTCTTCCCCGTTTTCCACTCAGTTTTGAAACTGCTCTGCCTAAGTGCACGCGTTGCCTGCAAAAACAGCCGTGCCTCCTTGCTCCTCACGGCAAGGTGAGAGGAGATGAGGCTGTTTTCGCAGGCTACGATCCTGTCAGCCACTCAGGCTTGTAATCACAGCTACTATAACCTCACCAGTTTTTTAAAGGCTTTGGTTACTTGGTACACGAACTGACTGCTTATCTCTTACAATTGATTGAAATGTTTCTTTCTGTTGCCATTATGATGTTAAGTTGATTTTGTTTGCTTGTAGCTACGATGTTCCAGATGCCAGGGCTCTGGTTTTGTACAAGAAGGAATGGAGCAAGTCCAGTGTAACATCTGTTTTGCCAGAGGATGGAAAATGTAGGTGACATCAATTTAGTTGGGAAAAGATAAAGTTATTTTCTCTCTTCAAATCCAAAACTGTAACTTTGTTTCTTGGCTAATTTTTGTCAACAGGTGTGATTTATGTAATGGACATGGGCGTGTGAAGTGTTGGACCTGTATGGGAAATGCCCAGTTAAAAACTTTCATTGAGCTGACTGTTAAATGGTGAGTCATCTTAATTTTTACATTATGTAATTTGTTTAAATTAGAAGTGACATAAATTATTACTATTTTGCTGACACGGAACAGAGAGTCGGGTTCTAAGTGTAGCGCGCGAGGGATTGCGGTTAAGGGGTTTGATTTAGTGACTGTTTAGTTATGCGTGCCATTCTCTGGTCGGCCTCGCCGCGTCAACTTGCTTTGTTTGGTTTAGTTTTTGCTTAATTCTGTTAGCCTTTATTTCGTTACCATCTGTACTGGTCCCTATGTTCCTTAGCTATTTTATTTAGCATCTCATTTTCTGCTCGTATTTTATTAGGCTTTATTTTATTTGTTTTGCCTTATAACCCTAAAGGCGACGCCATAGCATAGGTTGACTCCCTTTTTTTCCAGTACTTGGTTGTTTTTGGTTTACGAGTCTGGCTGTGGTGTGTTCTTAGAATAATATTATTACTTTAATAGAGGAGTTTTTCACGTGAGTTAATAAAGTATTTCATGGGCCTGGCTGACAGATGCACCCATGGCTCCAAGTGTTGTTTTGTGTGTTTGGTTGTGTAGTGGAGGCAAAATACTTTAGATTTGCTTTCCAGTCTTTTTAACTTCGTTTCATGATCACTTCCTTAAGTAGCCGAAGCAAAAATGCAACAATATTTAATACACTTTCCAAAATGCTGAAAAACAAACAGTTCCATGTGAACATACTGCTAAGGAAGCTTCATTTGAAGTGTGACACTACTGGATTTTGATGAAAGACTCAAAAGTACGAGCCACTTTGTAGAGCGTAATTAACAGTACCATCGGAAAGTATTGGCAAAGAGGTTTTTATTTTGGATGGGCACACTACAGGAATTTTTCACAGTCTCAAAAAAATAAGAACCACCTTGTACAGCATAATAAACATTACCATGACAGGAAAGTATAACTGCTCAGTAGCTTTCATGTGAATGGTATTAAACACTGTAGGATTTCATCCATATACCCAATAGTAAGAACCACCTTCTACAGCAAAATAATTAAGTAAGTGAACAGTACCACGGGAAAGTACTGCTCAGTAGTTTATTTTTTATTTATTTATTTACATTTTTACAGGGAAAACAACGTGTCGCATCATGTTGTTGGTAGAACAGAACAGCTTCCTAGTGAACTCATCGTCAATTCCCAAGGAACGGAGATATTCAGTCAAGAGCTTCCTCGGGTCAGTTGTGCTTATTATTTTACCCAACTGGACTCAGCTGCTTCGAAGGTTGATAATGCTGTGTACTGGATTAACCTCCATTTTGTGGATTGGTCTTTAGCTAGGTGCCAGTAGACGAAACACAGTCCCAACATTGTTGAGCCAACAGGTTGTGTCCGTTTGCATATGTTTGACTGGTTTCAAACTTTGCACAACAACTCCCAACAACACGCAACAGAATGTAACAGTGCGTGCAAATGGACACAACATGTAACATCCAACAATGTTGGGAGTTGCTGGCCAACAATGTTGCGTCCGTTTGCACCGATGGCAACAGGATTGTCTTAAAAGCAATAGGTTTAAATTCGAGACAACAACAAAAACTTTCCAAATGTATCGCCCCTTTTTTCTACATTTCTTTACTGTCGATGCACGTTTTCTCTAGGAGTCTGCAGAACGTGAACACATGACAACGATTTTAATTTTTTTTTAAACTGACATACAGTCCTTTAGAATTCAGTTCCAGAAAAATTCATCACTGAACATTTGACATATTAGACAACATGGAACATGGCCGAACACATATCACTAGCGATAAGTGTTTCCCAGAAAGGAGAACACATATCACTAGGGATATGTGTTTCTCAGGTGGGGGAACAAATATCAATAGGGATATGTGTTTCCCAGGTGGGGGAACACATATCACTAAGGATATGTGTTTCCCGGGTGTAGGAACACATATCACTAAGGATATGTGTTTCTCGGGTGGGGAACACATGTCACTAGGGATATGTGTTTTCCCTGATGGGGGAACACATGTCACTAGGAATATGAGTTTCCCAGGTGGAGGAACACATATCACTAGCGATATGTTTTTCCCAGGTGGGGGAACACATATCACTAGCGATATGTGTTTCCCAGGTGGGGGAACACATATCACTAGAGATATGTGTTTCCAAGGTAGAAAAACACATATCACTAGGGATATGTGTTTCCTAGGTAGGGGAACACATATAACAAGGGATATGTGTTTCCCAGGTGGGGAAACACATATCACTAGGGATATCCGTTTTGCAGGAGGGGGAAACACATATCACTAGGGATATGTGTTTCCCAGGTGGGGAAACACATATCACTAGGGATATGTGTTTCCCAGGTGGGGGAACACATATCACTAGAGATATGTGTTTCCAAGGTAGGGAAACACATATCACTAGGGATATATGTTTCCCAGGTACGGGAACACATATCACTAGGGATATGTGTTTCCCAGGTGCGGGAACACATTGTGTTTCCCGAGTGGGGAAACACATATCACTAGGGATATGTGTTTCCTAGGTGGGGGAACACATATCACTAGGGATATGTGTTTCCCAAGTGGGGGAACACATATCACTAGGGATATGTGTTTCCCAGGTAGGGGAACGCATATCACTAGGGATATGTGTTTCCCAGGTGGGGAACACATATCACTAGGGATATGTGTTTTCAGGGGGGGGGAAACACATATTACTAGGGATATGTGTTTCCCAAATGGGGGAACACATATCACTAGGGATATGTGTTTCCCAGGTAGGGGAACACATATCATTAGGGATATGTGTTTCCTAGGTGGGGAAACACATATCACTAGGGATATGTGTTTCCCAGGTGGGGGAACACATATCACTAGGGATATGTGTTTCCCAAGTGGGGGAACACATATCACTAGGGATATGTGTTTCCCGATTCCCAGGTGGGGAAACACATATCACTGGGGATATGTGTTTCCCAGGTCAAGGAACACATATGTCTAGGGATTTGTGTTTCCCAGGTAGGGAAACACATATCACTAGGGATACGTATGGTTGACGGAAGAAAACAAGTAACTACATAAGTATATCCCAGGTGGGGGAACACATATCACTAGGGATATGTGTTTCCCAGTTGGCGAAACACATATCACTAGGGATATGTGTTTTCTAGGTGGGGGAACACATATCACTAGGGATATGTGTTTCCCATGTGGGGGAACACATATCACTAGGGATATGTGTTTCCCAGGTGAGGGAACACATATCACTAGGGATATGTGTTTCCTGGGTGGGGGAACACATATCACTAAGGCTATGTGTTTCCTAGGTGGGGGAACACATATCACTAGGGATATGTGTTTCCCAGTTGGGGAAACACGTATCACTAGGGATATGTGTTTTCTAGGTGGGGGAACACATATCACTAGGGATATGTGTTTCCCAGTTGGGGAAACACGTATCATTAGGGATATGTGTTTTCTAGGTGGGGGAACACATTTCACTAGGGATATGTGTTTCCCAGGTGGGGGAACACATATCACTAGGGATATGTGTTTCCCATGTGGGGGAACACATATCACTAGGGATATGTGTTTCCCAGGTGGGGGAACACATATTACTAGGGATATGTGTTTCCCAGGTGGGGGAACACATATCACTAGGGATATTTGTTTCCCAGGTGGGGGAACACATATCACTAGGGATATGTGTTTCCCATGTGGGGGAACACATATCACTAGGGATATGTGTTTCCTAGGTGGGGGAACACATATCACTAGGGATATGTGTTTCCCAGGTGGGGGAACACATATCACTAGGGATATGTGTTTCCAGGTGGGGGAACACATATCACTAGGGATATGTGTTTCCCAGGTGGGGGAACACATATCACTAGGGATATGTGTTTCCCAGGTGGGGGAACACATATCACTAGGGATATGTGTTTCCCAGGTGGGGGAACACATATCACTAGGGATATGTGTTTCCCAGGTGGGGGAACACATATCACTAGGGATATGTGTTTCCCAGTTGGGGAAACACGTATCACTAGGAATATGTGTTTCCTAGGTGGGGGAACACATATCACTAGGTATATGTGTTTCCCAGTTGTTGAAACACGTATCACCAGGGATATGTGTTTTCTAGGTGGGGGAACACATATCACTAGGGATATGTGTTTCCCATGTGGGGGAACACATATCACTAGGGATATGTGTTTCCCAGGTGGGGAAACACGTATCACTAGGGATATGTGTTTCGTAGGTGGGGAAACACATATTACTACAACAACAACAAACAACAACATAAGCTTTATTTGCATGACTATAATTATGTAGTTACAGTATTGCAAAAGCTTTAATATAAAAAAAAAAAACAAACAAACAAACAAACAAATCATAACAATGATAATGCAATGATGACTGTAGTCAATCAAGTGTCATCAGCATGACTTGATAACAAATTATTACGTAAATCATTACATAATGAGACAAATTTCAACAAATGTGAATTTACGGAAAAATTCTGTGAATTCATCAATTTAATTATTAATTCTGTGTAAGATAGCTGATCAAAATCGACAAAATTTTGTTGGATTTGATCGTAGAATTTCTCCCTTGGGATTGAGTATTTTGGACAATGGAAGAGAAAATGAAATTCGTCTTCAATTATACCAGAGTTACAGATAGGACAGAGTCTATCGTTGCGGGAAGTTTGATTATATCTTCCAATTTCAATCATGAGTTTGTGGTTACTTATACGAATTTTCACTAAATCTTTCCTATTCGCAGAATTTCTAATTAAGTCTAGATAACTTGAAATTTTATAATCATGTTTAAATAAGCTGTAAAATTGTAGTTTCTTAGAATGATGGATTGTATGTTGCCAATATGCAATATATTTTTGTTTTATTATATCTATATAGTGTTTGATCTTAGCTTCACTTAAATTATTAGGATCAAAATCAGGGAGGTCATAATAGTCAGATATTTTCATAAGATTATTGTAAAAGCTATTTTTACCATTACAGTGAAGTTCTAGCGAAGTACGAAAGGCTTGTTTAACAATAGTATCCTCGTTTTTACGCTGAAGATACAATATGTAATAAAGGATGTTTTTATAAATATTAATAATTAATGGGAACCGTCCCAATTCACTTCTACTTGCAACATTTGAAGCTTTATTGCTTATTTCTAGGTAACGCTTGCAAAATTTCAAGTGGGTTTTTTCAATTACAATTCAATTACTAGGAATATGTGTTTCCTAGGTGGGGGAACACATATCACTACTGATATGTGTTTTCCAGGTGGGGAAACACCTATCACTAGGAATAGGTGTTTTCCAGGTGGGGGAACACATATCACTGTTGCTGGGGTAGGGGAACAGAAAGCGTTTTATTGTACTTTGTTGCGTATATTCCAGGTCGCTGTAAATGTCTAATGTAGGGTCATTTCCCTGGAGCTGATTTCGTGGGATTCGCACCCAAGTTTAAGAAGAGAAAGAAAAGTTCGTCGTCGCTTGTTTGCGTCCTCCATAAAATGTTAAATTAGGCCTTTTTTGCCTGGTAGTCGTGCAGTAACGGTAAGGAAATGCACGCGCAAACTTGTTGTTTGGCTTAAACCTTTTGCTGTTTTGACTTTTCCGTCGCCGTTGCGGTCGTCGTTGCTTAAACTTCCTAATAACTTTATTAACTTCTCCTTGCTGTTGCTTAAACTCAGGTTTGGCCGATCAGTACCTTTTTTGACCAGCAAGTTAACATGGGATCTAAGAGACTCGTAGAGGAGCACAGCAATAAGTGGCCAGCGAAACGCATTCTTATGCAGGTAAATAAATTGAAACAAAACATTTCATCAGCGGGATAAGTCAGACTTATAATTCCAGGAAGACAAACAAAGAAACAAAACAATACAATCTGTGAATTTTATGCTGCCAAAGATACAGTACCGTGTGTAGATATGGGGACAGGCTAAACTGAATATGGCTTAGAACACAGCGTTGTTTATAAACTGATTATTAATAAACAAGGAGTCTCGAAGGTTTAGCCGGGTGAAAAAGTGCTTGAAGGCTAAGGCTTATATTATTGTAGAAAAAAGGGCTCGCTTTCTTCGGTTTCACCCCTACCCCAACCCCTGATCTTTTGTCCGAGATGAACGAACGATATCGTAATTTTTAGAATATCTCAGCGTTTGATTCGTCGTTATAACTTTTGCGTCTGTCGACAAAATCTTGTTTAGTCCCTGTACGGCGTCTTCCCAGGCCTTCTTGGTCAATGCATTTCGGTGACGTATCCTAGACGAACGACCACGTGACGCGAAACGCATCGGCCGCGCGCAATATCGAGGCCTAGGGACGAAGCAAGACAAAATCCTATACGCCACTTGCACATGTTCCGTAATGCACCTTTTTTGCCCCCCAAAGTTTTTATAACCTTTGTTTTTCATTTCTCCGGGTATTACAGCTGTCCCAAAGAAATTGAAAACAATGCTTATGCAATTTTTTTTCTTGGGGGCGTATGGGGGATGTGCAAGTGGCATATAGTGATCTCTTTGGGTGAACTTTTGCATTGTACCATTCAAATCTTCGGATTTTGCAATTTTTTTTTCCTTCACCACCATTTGGAGGGAAATGAAGGACTACAGTGCATAAACAATGTATGTTACTCTTTTTCTTTCAGCGGCACGTCCTGCGAGCTGTTCCCGTATCTGAGGTCCATTATCAGTGGAATGACTTTGCGAGTCGCTTCTGGGTGTTTGGTCATGACCACAAAGTGTACGCACCTGACTACCCTCAGAAATGTTGCTGCGGATGCAGTATTCTGTGAAGACGGATGTTGCTGGAGCACAGGACGGCGACGCTATTGAGTGGCGCTCCACATAATTGGTTGTCCTGT